AAAAAGAATATTTTCTCTGCATCTTTTGATCCCCCAAAATAAGTGTTCCTCCATTATACTTCTCTAAATATCATCCATACTGTTGTGTCAACATTAAGCTACAGATGTCTCTTTAAAATCATTTTCAATGGTTGAAAAATTTTCAGATTAATTTTACACCTTTCAATTTCATATAAAGAAGGTGGAAGAGGTTTATTATTTGGTGGTGGTTGTTATTGTTCTTTGTCTTGGCTCCTAACCTCTGGAGACTATGGCCTGTGTTTCTCCTGCCCTGATGGCCAGACTATGAACTGACTTCAACTGCCAAAAGTTTGTTGGCACAGTTTCTAGACTCCTGGCTTTCCAGTGAGTGCAGAAGAAATCTTTATGATCATCTAAATCTGACCTGGATAACACAAGACAATGAAACTCACTCAGTGACTTCTTAACTTCTGGATCAAATTTAATTTCCGTTCATCTTCTAACATATTTTTGGAAAGCAACCCATTATTAAATAAACTTCAATGTTCACAATACTTACTAAGTACTTCCAGACAATTTTTGTATTCTGTATTATTCAAATGTGTGAGTAAAATGGAATTTTGATCCAAATTAACATAATTTTATTATATTCTTGTTTAATGTTTATAGACTATACAATCTACCCTTGCCTAAAGTATACTGCAACAGCGTAATACAGGGAGAAATTCACCAGAGAAAACATAGGTCAGGAAATTAGAAATGTAAAGTCAGCTAGGGAAGCAAAGACCATTGCAGGCAGAAATGTCTGCTGGAGAAATAAGTGATTTTAAGAGAAGCACAAGGACCAGGTCAACAGAGATCGCAATGCTGAATACGCTGTCTAGTTCACAGAAACTCGTGTTCTCTATCTTACTGCTATACACTGTTTGCTCCATTAATCACAAAAAGATTATAACAGTAGTATCACATAAATGTAAGTCTATTATGCCTGCTTCTTGCCAAGTACAGAAAACAGGCACCAATTCAGTAAATGTGATGCATCTGTTAAATTGTATGCCATGCCACTTCGTGTAAAGCATTCTGTAGAGTTTAGTAACTTCAAACCTTCAAATAGAGTATCTCAATGAAGAGAATTTGCTTCTTCACAATGAGTAAATGTAACAGTTTGACAAGGAAACAAAATCATTGCTAAGGGGAGACTAACACTCAGCCTCTAGACTGGAATGTAACTGGAATTGAAGTAAGAGATTGGAGAGAAAATAGAAGTTTCCTTATCCAATTTTTTAAGTTTAGAAGTGCTAGAATTATGCAATTTTTTTTCCGTTAATGCAGTTAGTATATATTGCTTTTACTCCCCAACTATATGTACCTCAGAGCTGGCAACTCAACAGTCTTCACAAATATTGCACATAAATGATAATCAGAATAGCAGAACATGCACATGTCTCTTTCCATCATCTGAAACTATTATTTAGGGCTGATCTAAGATCTGAGAGCACACTTCAGGGGTTTGTATTCTTTACATTTAAACAGGATTTTCTATTCTTGATTTTAAATGAAAAGGTAATATACATCTGCAAAGCTGGATACCATGACTTCTGCTGCAGTCTAATGAAAAACAGCAATCAGAGTTCATCTCTTTCTTCTGTTTGGCTATGACAGTTTTGAAATGATTCATAACAGAAAGAAAAAATTTCTGTGTGCAGATTTTCAGCCAGACCACAGTATATGAAGAAGTTTGTTGAGGACAAAAATGTTCTTCAGTCATACGTATTTAAGATTTGATATATGTCCTACATAAAAAGCATGCCATGCTACATGTAAATCCATTTACTAAAGTCATCCCCAAGCACTATGAAATTCAAAGTTCTCCTTCAAAGACTGAATTTGCTAACCTTAAGATCATAACAGAAAGTCTGCTTAAATAGTTGTGTTATTTTCATTTTTTCCTTCTTTCTCCACGAAGACTAAACAGGTAAGAATTATCTTTTATTTTCTTTTAATCTAAATCACTAGTGTTGATTTTGAAAATCTGATGCAGTAAAAAAGGAATAAACTTTAAACCCACATTCAACTTTTTTTTTTTGCCTTATTTTTAAAATTCAACTCTGATGGGCACTTTTCGTAAAGTATTAAATTCAAGGTTATTTTAAAGTTCATGGGATTACTATAACTTTTTTTCTTTCAAGATACTGTGCTGTTGGAGTGCATCATATTTGCCTTCATCCTTCATCTTTTCTCATCCTTTCTCTCATAGTTAATTCTGGTAAGCTCTTTAACCCACTCCTGCTCTTCTGTGCAACTAATGCATGTTTTATAGAACAAATCAAGTAAACCACAACATTCATGCTACGGCTGTATCGGATAACAAGTAAAATATCTAATCCAAAACATATGACAATGGCGACGACCAAATTAAAATACCAGATCTAGACACTAAAGCTATGTATTATTTTTGCTCTAATTAACTTCCATAACACCACTTAAACTTACTTAGCATTTAAAACTGAATGCACATTCAAACATTGTGTTGCATCATAACTATTCTTGCTCCCTTTATGATCAAAGACCAAGTATAAAATAACCATTTCATATGATTGAATAAATTTACTTTCAATTGATGAAAGGGGAATACAAAGTACAGCAATATTAGTGTCCTAACTTTCTATTTATCTAGACATAAAACACACACTCAACAAAAAACCACACACTAATGATCTTGTACATAGCAAGCAGGAAAAAAAAGAAAATCTATTTTACAGACTTTTTCCTGTGACAGGCTTAAAGAAGAAAATACAACTTTAGCTATATCTAGTAACACCGGAAAATATGAATAATCATATACTGTAAACTACTAAGTAGTCTGAGAAATGCACATTTCTGCACAAGTATTCAATGTCAGCACTGTGATCATTTTGAACATAATAAAGTGTTTCTTAAAATCAAGTGAAATTGTCTAAGAGGACACTGACAGGGTTCTGCTCATTTTACTAGCAATTCATCTGCTTTTTTAAAAAACAGTGCTAGTTTATCTTGTAAGAGAAACAGTAAGAAGGAAGCAACACTGTCCTACCTTTACTCCATTTATCTTCTGTAGATTAAAATGGTTCAGTCTAAACAGAACATAGTATTTCCACAAAGTAAAGTTGACAACCGGATTTCCCTGAGAATCAACTGTCAACTGTTCAATGCGATGCATCTGAGCTAACGCATTGAATTGCTGCAGCGTCGCAAGATTTGTCTCCTTAAACTTCAGGTGCTTAAAAAAGTCAAACCACAATAAATTAAATAAGGAAACAATAATAAGTAAACACAATGATTCCTATTCTGTGCCACTCAAACAATTTTCAAACTTAAATAAACAGTCTTTAGGTCTCATGAAGCAACTGAGCTCACTTCAGTTAAGGTCTTTGTGGTAAAACACGTCAATGTATCAACCATAAGTATTACATATATTTAGAAATGTCAACATTACAAGGCCCTAAGCAATTAATAAACGCTTTAGTAACAGCACTAATATTTTCAATGTTACAAAAAGCAGTGATACTACTGTTTATTTTAATTCTGCAAGTAAAGCAACTGCCGTATCCACTCATAAAAATAAGTACAATACATGTTTTTAAATATTCTGCTTTTTTGGCCATAGCAGGCTGGCATTAAGTCATACCTTGCTGTCTCTTTGAACCATGCCCTACACTAGTGCTCCTATGAGCACGGTGTATTTGGTTACATAGTAGCACTCCTGAGGGAAGGGGAAGGAGGAAAAATTGATCAAGATAAAAATTTAGTTGAGATTCTGCTATCCCCCACAAATTTTTTGCCTCACAATGAAACAACTGTTTCATTGAGATAGATAAAATTGTCTTAAGTACCCCACAAATTTATCTATCTCAATTAAACCATTAAGTTCTGTTATACTCAAAACCTTAAAAAGAAGCAGGAAGCTCAAGAGATGTATCACCTGAGTAACAAGTTGCTTTATGTATGTTATTACTATTTTACTACTTGCTTCAAAATGACTGATTTAAATGCCCAAGAAAAAAAAAAAGAAACACTAAAGTGACATCTCATTTACATTGTTTTGCTTCTTCAAGAACTGAGGAATTCCAAAAGCTGTACTGATTTAGCTAGCTGTTCCCTTTGAATTCTACCTCTCTCTTTTTACCCTATCAGCTATTCGATCTTTGAACTCACAAATGAAAGTCTCCTGATACCATGGATCCATAACAATATTGTAGAATATCAATACTGTACCTACACATCAGTTTTGCAACTTAAAAATAATCAGCTAAGTCAAAGGAATTAAGAGAAATAACAATCAGTCTGAAAAGAAAATACCATCCTGTGTGAGAATCTAAATGAAAGTATTGATTTTTAAGAAGTACCAAGTTAAAGTTAGTGTTATGTGACGCCAAGAAAATATTAAATTCACAAACGTATCTATTTATATGAAAGCACTCAAAGGTGACTATGTCAAATTAAGGTTCTATTAGAGAATACATATTCCACAGCTGTTCATACAGCTGAAATCTGAGTCATTCTTACCACAGAATTAGGAAATTTTATCTTCAGTTTTGTTAACACTTGAACAATTTCATCAAATTCTATGAACATAAAGGAGACTGTGACAATAATTCCAGTTGTTTGAACACTCCAGTTTCGATCCAGGCACTCCAGTGCCCCAGCACCATACAAGCAAAGAGTGTCTCCTTCCACTTCCACCAAATGAGACTCAAGAACAGTCAAGCCTTGTACCGCACTGCTCAATATTGTATCAAGAGACCTGTGGACGAAATACAAATGCAGTGACATAAATGACATTATTCCGAGATAGTAACATCATTCTATTTAATGATAGTCCTCTCATTTACCAAACCCCAATTGTCAAATATGATTGCATTTCTCAGCATCCATTCATTTGCAGTACCCAATCTAGGTCAAAAACATTAAGGGCTGGAAAATCCTCTTTCCATCAAGTAACATTGCAAGTGTTCTACTTCTTCAGCAGAAAGGTTCTGGGTGTATTTGAGTTGGACAGGGTGGGGAATAAATAAAGAAATCACTCATATTTAATAACCTGCTTTAAAATTTTAACTCAGAATGCTAACAACATTTTGTGTTGCTTTAGATATCTAAAAAAACTTCAAACAATGTACTTATTCAAGCAAAGTCACCTTCACATTCTGTTTGCTGTATGAAACGTAAAAGTTATGACACGAGTAATCGCTTTAAGAACAGACTGTTGTTAAAGCCAATCCAGAATAATGCTATTCACAGTACTGAACAGTTATTTCTATTCTTGAACAAGAGTATCACTCCTTTCTCAAACCCATATATCACATTACCTGATCAGCATATCAAGATTCATTATTCTGCTTAGAGATGAGAATAATCTTACAGCTTATTACCCTTGTTTGATCCTTAATTAATAGGGATGAATAAGCATTTCTTGAAAATAATGCAGGCTTTTCAATTCACAAGACCGATTTTAAAATTACGCAATAAGTCCAGGTATTCTCAACTCTCATCTCTTTACGTCTTACTTCCAACATGATATACTCAGCTGACTGGACCCAAAGTGCACAGAGATGAGCACAAATCACAGGTTTAGAAAGCTGCATATGGATTGTTACTATTTTAGTCTTTACTACCTTCCTAGTATTTTTAATACATTTTACTTTTTTGACTACTAGTGATCACTTGACTGAAGTTTTCTTGACAAAATCAACCAGAACTCTAAGATTTCACTCTTGACTGGAAATGATGAGAGCCCAACACTTCATATGCGAAGCTGTAATTACTCATCTATGCCGAGTTTTGCCTGCCATTTTACTGCTTAGTCACTCATCTTGAAAATATCTTCTGAAATTCTTTACTATCATAGAATATAGTTGTAAATCAATGTCAATTTTAACTCAGAGGGGGTTAAAGAGCAATAAGGCTTCAAGGGAAAAAGTTGCAAACTTATCTACTGCTTCTTAATTCTAACACACATTGCCACATCTTCATTAACCTGTTTAAACTAATATAAATCAGTGATAAAGATCACTATCACACTTCCATTTCTCTAAACAGTCATGAAAGAGAAAAATTCCAAACCTAAGTCTCCAATTCAGAAAACTAAATGCACTGTAATTTGCATAAGAGAATTATGATATATGCAAATAAAGCACATGGTTTATTTTGTTAACATCTTGGTGGGGTGAAATTTGATATTTCATTGAAGTAACCACTTTGATTTCTACAAAGTATTCTAGAAATCTTAAACTAGAAAAACTTTCACAAGAACATGGAAATAGTTTTTATGCATTGTATTTTATTACTGACAATTTGACAAAAGAATCCTAACATTCATGGTCAGGAAACTACAAGGAATAAACCAACTTTAGTCACTGTATGCAGTATAAGCACAGAAAGCGTTACACCAAGATCTTCCCTACAACTCCATGGAAAAAGTCTTAATATGTTACTTAAAAGTGTGATGTCCCAAACGATGAGAATCTGTTCATCAACTATGCTCAAGCTACCATAGTTACATTGACCTGGTCACAGGGATGTTCACTAACACTGAATTAAATTGTGAAAAAAACAAGGCAAGAAAGCATTGGCTAAACATATGTTGGGGGGGAAACTTTGGAAGCATAAGAACAGAAAGGACTATAGCAATTTAAAAATGCTAAGAAAAACATGTTTCAAAAGATGCAGCATTCGATCAGAGATAAAAAACAGGTCTAGCCAATACTAGACTGAAACTCAGATGGGTTCTGTGTGTGAGAGGCAAAGATGTCCTGCCCATACCTGACATTTCCAGTGTTGATCAGGCACAGCAGGAAGCTGTACTTGCTATTGAATTCGTGCAGACTAGTTTTTTCAGGCCTTTGCCTGAGCTAGCCAAGGTTGAAAGTGTGCTAGTTTGGTTTTAGCCAATCCAAGGCACACATGGTTCATTAAGTTCTGCATTTGGTCAAACCAAATAGCATTGGTATGAAAGCGTTCCAATGAGAGATGCTGCTGTTCAAACTAAGAACACAAATTCAACACTCAGTTTATGAAACCCCTTCATACACAAAGAGGTTACAAATGTTTGTAACGCTTATACATCCTCATTTTGTTCATTTCAACTGAAGACAACAGTCCAAGCTGTCAAGGAAATTAACAGCCTTAAGAAGGCTCAAGAATTCATACTTAACATTTCTTGCAAACGTGAAGCTGTCCCTTATTTAGCAAAATCACACAGTAATTTAGCTTGCTTTAGTTTTTTAGTCAGTGAGTTTCTGCTATATTACTTATTTAATATATATGACTTATTACTAATGGCAAATAGGTTTAATCAGAAAATAAAACACCTTTTCAGAATTGATTTGGATATATTACTTTTGATAATGAAATACAGTGAGATCTCAGAGGTGAGAAGTAGTAACCTGGAATATAAGACACGAACAAGAAGTATTTCTCAATAAATACCTGTTTTCTTCAGGAAATACATATGCAGCACTGCCATTGATCTGACAGGGCTCATTATCTTTATCTTGGTTTAAAGATGCCACAAGAGCTATTCGATTCTGCTGTATCTCCCACTGACGAGCAATATTACAAATCGTTAACCGTTTCTTTTCCTGAAACAAGATACAAAAATCATAGTAAGTTATGACAGCACAGTACCAACACACTTGTTTGTTCTGAAAGAAATATGCTGCTTAATCAAAACATTGTGAACATTTTAAACTGAAGAAACAATAGTACTGGTTGGTGGTTGTGCATGAAAATCCATGCCTCATTCTAGTGTTATTTTGCATAACTGCCAGCAAACAACGATTTCACAAAATTTGCAATAACAGAAACAAGAAAAGTAACATAACAAATCCACAACTTGTGAAAGAAAAAAGTTAAACTATTTAGTTTGGTCAAGCACAGAAGTCTCATTTTGACAGTCGAGCTGCTTGTAATGTACTCCTCCCACAAAACAGGGCGGACTGCTTGTATTTTCCTCCTTGCTGCTAAAGTGACCCTAGCACTTCAGCTAAGAGAGTTATGCAACTGCTCTAAGTCTTAGCGGTAACTGCAACATACTTCGCATGGGGGGAAAAGTTATCTTCTGAAAAATGGAAAAAGTCAATTTTATAAAAACAAAATGAAATTACTTTTGTGGTAGACACAAGGACTACAACAGATCCAAGTTCAAATACTTTGCAATAGTTTTTTAAAGTAGTTTTTGTATTCTAGATGGGTCTTGTCAAGGAACCAGTATTTCAAAAATCTATTAAGTACTTCTTGCTGTATAGTTATGCAAATTGTGTCAGTTATCTACAATTCTATATATAGGTTATTATTCTATTGTATCATATAAATATATATGACTTAATATATCTAATTTAGCATACTTAAAAAGGTTAAAGAACAAGGTGCTTTGTAAGAGCTCACAGACTGGCAGCTGAACTCTCATCAAATGAAAACTGCACAACATAAATATTATCAAAGGGTAAATTCATTGTTAGTTCCACTTCATTTTTTTTTTTCTAATTCTCTGCGAGTCAGCCATCTCGGTGTTACACTACTCCCAATGACAGTCAAACAGTTACTTAGAATTTCTGAGAGGAAAATATTATAGAGGAGCTTAGCATAAAAGAAATTTACATCCACAAAACACGGAGAAAACAGAGTATCAGTCAAAGCCAATGATTTTTGGTTTATAATATCACATCCTAAATTGATTTTGCTATAGAAATGTAGCTTTCAAGTCCATACAAAGTAACCACCTTAATTTCAAGCTTCCCACTCTCAAGAAGAATGAAAAAAGCATGATATTCTAAGAATCCTTTAATTTATCTCATATACTTCAGCACATCGTTATTGGAACTGGAATACATACAAATGTCTTGATATTTTCGAATGGAGGGTAGAAAAAGGCAAACCTGAACTTGCCCTATGTGGTATAAACAGCAGTTCATAGGCAGCATTGGTATTTGTCACTACTTATACCCGTAAACAGGGGAAGGATAAAAGGCGCACACTCTTCAGATGTACTAATGAATATTCTACTTCAATGCTATAAAATTTTGGATTGAAACAGCAAGTACTTGTTAGCTTCAAGTTGCAATGATCTCAAATTAAGCCTAAACAGATCTCAGGCAAATTAACAATTTGTTAACAATATCTGTTAACAGTTATTTCCTTAGAGCATAAGCTAACCACCTTTATCAATTTCTTACCAGTGTTAAAGCCTGTCTAATATAATAATTTTAAACATTACTACATCAGTTCCTGCCTCCTTTAGAATATTTTGATAGGCTGATAAAGATACAAGAAAACACTGCAATATTGATTAGAATTTAGAAGGCTGTAACAAAGATCCTGAAGACCAGAAAGGCTTTATTTTTAAAAAAATTGAACACTTACATTTCTGTTTTAAGATAGACTCTATAGTTGGGGGGCGGGGGGGGGGGAATCAACAAAAACCACCAAGTTTTATTATAGCCCCTTTTTTCAAATAGGAAAAAAAAAAAAGATATTTTATTTGATATGCCTACGGAGAAAGGCAGGGGACCAGGGTAAACGTAATTTTACAGTTTGAAATTAACAGTTTTGATACATTGTTTGACCTATACTCACTATGCTCTTAGGTTTAATCTATAGAAGTAACATGTGACTGTTACCAACATGTTTTTACATAATTCCTTTCACAGTGGACAACATAGTTCACTAAGAGTGTTCTCCACAATACTCAGTGTTGGAGATGTAAAATGTGAAGTACTACAAGCGAATATTTCTTTGAAAAACAGAAAATAGCAGATCAACAAAAAAAAGCAAGCATTTCATCATCTGTGACTGCTAATTTGTGGCATCTAGGTATTTCCTTAAGGAGAAAGAACAACTGCATACAAATGTTTCACAGTAAAACATTTAATATCTACATGCAAATCTCTCATGCTGCAGCTATTATATTCAGAGTAAAACTGTGATCTGTTTCAATGACTGATAATGCAGGGATAGATCTACCAGACTTTAAAGGTTGATAAAAACTACGTCCATAATTGTCTATAACTGACACTGAAAGTACATGGAATCTACTTTAAAAATCATCTTCTTCTGAAAGTCTTTCCATTTTAAAGAGCTCAAAACTCTACTTTATATTCTATTTGCCCAAAGAGTTATAATGTTACCTGGTTAGACAACACTGAGCGCCCAATATTTACAGACTTCAGTGATGACTGGGCTCCATGTCACAGAAAGCAGGGGAAGTTGAAATCGTCAGCATTTTCTTCCAATCACACTTAGAAAATTCTGCTTGTTCTGGAGCGTGAAGGTCTCCTCATAACCTCAACTACTGTAAGCTCTACCGCTTTGTTAGCCCTCAGCTGTGGGCTGGAGGATTCCTATAGAGCTTTGAAAACTTCCAAGAATTCATTTTACAAAAAGAAAATTTTAGAAGTGTGAAGATTCTGCTAGCAATAACTATTTCTTGTTCCAGTAAATATTAAGTTCAGCCTCTGTTGGAAAGGAACTACATTCTCTGTACGTTTTGAAGTACATCTTGAACTTTCCCAGAGAAGTGGGTTTTAAGCAATAAAAAATAGTCTGGAAAAATAGAGATGAATAAACTCTGCTGTTAGGGCAGACAATTATCAGCAAGGGGAAAAAAAAAAAGAGACGACATTGCTGAAATTAACTTTTTGATGCAGTGAATACAGGAAAACAGCAATTGTTTGCTACAGAGTGACTGCTTATAATTTCATTTACACTGCATATAGTTCAAGAAAGTTTGAAGGAAAGTGACAACAAAAATTGCAGAACAGTTTTCTTCAGATTTAACTATGAAGAAAAATCCTATAGTTCGCAACTTTTTTCGCTGGACATCATATCTATGAGCAAATTTGTTCCTTTCAATTCAAATGTGTGGAACAGGAAAAAAGAAACCAGAATCATCACACAAAAGAATATATTTACAAAGGAAAGATATACAAAAATCACCGAATCATGCAAAAGATATTGGTATTTGGCTGTCATGCCACTTAACTATTTGAAGATGAGAAAGATACCTCAATTAAATTACAAAATCTACAAATTAATGTTGAAATCTGAGTTATAATGGCATTATATATTAAAAATACTTTTTTTCTTCTAAGGGAAGTTTCCACTAGCAAAATGCACTGAGAAATCTAGACCATCAAGACAATCAATCCCTCTGCTACAAGGAAACATTACATCAATGGTTAAAAACATGAACTACAAATAAAAACCTGCTTTTTTTCCAGTCCAGAGACACAGTCAGCTTTTCAACAGCATAAAATAACATCATGTGTAAATATTATTTACTAATTTCCCATTTCTTTATATTACTAAGAACTGGCACCAAAACTTCAGACCCGAAGAGACTTTAAATTAAAAAAAAAAACCAAACCACACACAACAACAAACCACAACACTGCTTAAAAAAAAAAAAAAAAAAAACTGTATCTAAGACTTTGTTATATTGATTTTTTTAAAAACAGAAAATAAAAATACACATGGATACAAATATACAGGAAATCAAAATATATTCTTAGGCACTAGACATGGAATTTTTTTTTCCATTCATATATTGAGGTTCTTGGGGTTTTTTATATACTTAAAACATCTTTTAATATACTGTTATCATTCTGTTTGTGTCTTTTTATTTTTCAGAGTTATACACATTTGCTACACTTCTTACAGCCTCCTGCAACTACTTTAAGTCTAATCCCCTTCATGAAATATGATTTTACCTAGGCAACTCAACAATACGGATACATGAAAATTTTTTGTTTGACTGCCAAATTGAAAGCAGTTTTTGTACAACCATTACTGGATGACAAAAAGTTTTCGACATTTTTTTTTTCTCCAAAGAAAAATGATTTGGAGACAAATGGCAACATTCACACAATAAATGAAATGCAGATACTCTTAGATCCTTGAACTTTGGTCTCCTATTAGCAACACAGGTCATTTACTGACCAGCCCCATAAGAGTACTCTGGAGTGCACCTCAGTCTCCCCCGTTAGAGCTATTCCATCTCATGTATATAAGCATTAACCAGGCCAGGTGGTCTGGTAGATAAGCATTCTTCTGAAAAAGATGACAACTGGAGTCTAGCTGCTGCTCTCATGACTGCTTAACTCTTTCTACAAAAAGGAACAACTTCAACGGGAAAGAATGAAGGAAAAACTCCTTCAGAACACCCTGCATGGCAGCAGTTAGAGCATTCACCTGAAATGGGGGAGACCAAGTTCAAGGAATTTGAAATCACTGAAAAGTCCTTTACTTCACTCTGGATTTACTTTATCTCTGGATTTGTGAAAGTTAAGTTTGCCATGCTTTTACATATATCACACTCATGTATTCAACTGGAGTTTTTTGCTAAAGTATAACTTGCATGGTTGACTGAAGAGAGTTTCAGTTGTGGAATGCACCGTTTAAGATGTAAAAAAAAAAAAAACAAAAAGGTTTAGAAAGAGGCATATTGTATTATGCAAGAACTACAGCAAAAAAAAATTAGAATATAGATTATTGCTGTAAACTGGCTTACAGTAGGCTTAGAACAGCCATAGAAAATACCTTAAGCAAGGTCTGTCTATGGCTTTCACGCTTCCTTTCTTCCTCTTTTCTTGCTGCAAGAGATGCCATACGTCTTTCTTCTTCCTGGATGAAAAAAAGAAAAACAACTTTATGAAAGGAGGAATTAATCAGGTTCTGAAAAATACTACTGATATATTATTAATATATTTTAGTGTTGGTATTTGAAATGTAAATTTTAATTTTAACACACTTTTAGGATTTTTAACATTTTAATGTTTTTAAAAGAATAAAATTAGTAATTATAAATAAATACAGAAGAAATAGATATCTACTCAGATACAAATACTGAGGATAAAGCTATTCAAAACTAGTATTCGTAAAGGTCTTTGAAAAACTATAAAGCGTATGGTGAGTATGAGTGAAAAAGAACATTTTTAAATGTAACAATGCATTATTTCTTTGTACCTTTGTAGTGGTTTTCACAATTAGTAGGATTTTTTTGTAAGAAAAGACACAGAGCGAATGAGCTGAATTCTATTTATGCTCAAATCATAATCTAAGATTGATTTTTATCATTATAAACTGTTTCCAGGGGCTTACTTTTCTCAATCAGCAACAGAACTTGTGAAGAAAAGAATATTTTGGAAGTTAACTATAGTACGTTAACATTATTTCTCATTAATATTATTACCTATTCAAGAAGTAGTTTCAAGAAGAAAGCCATTGATTCCTAAATAATGAAAGTCGTGTAAATGAAGATGCTTAATTTTCCTGGTACAGCAATTTAATACCGCAATATACCCATATTAGGTTGAATGCTCCCTGTTTACAGAAGTCTAAACATTCTCACAACGCAGTATTTTTAGAACATATATTTTCCAAGTAACAAAAGAAATGTTCACTATGAAGTAAAAACGGTAGAGTCCTTCCAACACAAATATTTGGGAAGCATACTTTAGCTTATTTTGATTCACTTCACATGCCATTTGGGTGTTTCTACTAAAGTATCTTCCCAGAATATATGGAAAGTGTTTTGATTTCCCTCAAAATAGAAAGCTCCTGTCCTAACCTTTTCACTTTCACTTTCCAGAAAGTTATGTGTTAAGAAAATTAACAAACAAAAATGAACAGAAAACATCATCAACCATGAAGACATAATGATATGTCAAAATTACTATATAAATACAGTGCTCTTAACATATTATGTTTTAAGAATGCTTCAGCACACGGGCGAATGCTTACTGGAACATAAACTAAAACAAGAACTTCACACTTAGCATTGCTGTTACATTTTTAAGAAAATTATTTCCAAAGCATAAGAAGTTAGGTTCACATAGCAGACTTACTCTGCGTACAGTCCCCCTGAAACCCATTGACATACCATGGATTTTGACACCAATCTGAAAGGTGATTAACAAACTTCCAAATTCTTCCTCCATGACTTTAACGCAACATGCATATATTAAACAAGAGGAATACCTTAATGCAGAACAAGGCATGAGGCTTTGGATAGAGTAAGTTGCTCTAATCCTACCGTTTGCAAGGATTTCCCTGGAATACTAATTGGAAAACCCAACTTTTTTTTCACTTTCTTTTTTTCTCATTATTATTTTTTTTGTTCTAAAAGCAACTTCTGGCCTTTTGAGGTTGAAGTTTTGTTGACAGCCTCCTCTGCTACTGGGCTTTTCAGTTGTTCCTAAACAGGATATTACCAAGGGGTTGGTGTCATATAATTACAGAATTCAGGTTAGAAGGGACCTCAAGAGGTCACTAGTCCATGTTAAAGGTGGATCATCAATAAGTAAATAATTAAATAAACCCACACACAGATACTTCTAGATCCCAGTACAAGAAAATACCACACAGTGAAACCCAATGCCTGAAAGGGAGCGTTCAGAGTGAGGTTGTGAAAATCATGAAACAAACCCCATGCAAGGAAGCCTCAAATTAATCACGGATCATAGAATCATAGAATAGTTCAGTTGGAAGGGACCTTAAAGATCACCTTGTTCCAACCCCCCTGCCATGGGCAGGGACACCTTCCACCAGACCAGGATGCTCAAAGCCCCATCCAACCTGGCCTTGAATGTTTCCAGGGATGAGGCATCCACAGCTTCTCTGGGCAACCTCTGCCAGTGCCTCACCACCCTCACAGTGAAGAATTTTTTCCTAATACCTAATCTAAATCTTCCCTCTTCCCGTTTAAAGCCATTGCCCCTTGTTCTATCACTACCTGCCCTTGTAAACAGTCCCTCTCCAGCTTTCCTGTAGGTTCTTTTTTGTTCCCTAGCAGTTTTATTATATAAAATTGGTACATAGAAAGAAGAGAAATGTAAACTAGTTTTCCCACCAAGGGAGAGGAAGCAGAAATTATCCATTCAATTTGGCAGAAAACAACTGGCCAGTCATCATAGACTCAGCTCCAAACTAAATGAGGTATTGTGTTTCGCACTGGGGAAGGCAAGAATTAGAGAACAAAATTACGCTAATCTATAGGAAAACAGTCTTCATTAATTTTATTCCTTTCAAAATAACTCAAGGTTTTTTGCTCTCCCCCTCCCCCACCCCAAAGCTTTAAGGCAAACTCCACAAAATTCCCTAATTCAGTTTTCTCTCAACTTCCAAAAATATCTTCCTTCTCAAAGCCTTCCCTTAATCCAGTCCAAATGCGTACTTTATGACACTGTCTTCCACACATGAGGGTTTACTGCCCTCATTCAAGTCAGTCCAGTACTTTCCCTGCCAACACAGTCTCAATACAAAGAATGAAATAAATTAATGCAAATTACATTCTAATGAGTCTTTTATTAAGACTTCTTTCTTGATCAAGAGTTTACCCTAATTACAAACATTTAAAAATACTATTTCTTTCATAAAATAAATTAGCTCAGCCTAAAAAGAAAATATTCTAGTTTTACTCAGTATTTATAAAGGCAGAATAATAGAGAAAACATCTGAATTAAGATCAAGGGCTAAATCTAATTTTATGGAAATCAAATCCGTATACATTTCTTGATTAATCTTACACAACATATGCAATCAATCTTGAAAAACACAACATCTCCTCCAAACCCACAAAAAAAACCCCCACAAACCCACAAAGTTATAAAACAAAGTCCTTAACCTTGCCACAGTTCATTTTTACTATCACCACTTCATCTCTGTTAGCTCCCACTCTTTCGAAACTCTATCTCCCTTTTTCTTTGCTCCTGCTCATTATTCTGCTGCTATTATCCATAACTTTGTTTTATCTTTAAACCAAACCTTGCTGGACAACGGGGGGATGCTTTTCCAGAAGGTCAAAGTGCCAGATCATTACAAAAGGACTTGGATGTCCTCCTGTATATTGAAATTTCCTCTCTTTATTAGCTCTCCACTTCCCATCTAAAAACTTACTAATGGTTAAGAAGCCACCTTCACAAAAAAAAAAAAAACCACCACACACAAACAAACAAAAAAAACCCCAAAAAATCCAAAAAACCCACCCAACCTAAAACCCACACAAAAAAAAAAAAAAGAGAGAAAGAGAGGAAGTAATATACTTTATAAAGAAGCAGAAGTCTCACCTTCTGCAGTGAGATTTCGAGGCTGCAGGTTTACATTCTCCGTGTGAAGCAACAGTAGAGACAGAACACAAGAAGCACGACACACATGAAAGCTATTACCACCCTTATGAAAACTTCCCACTAGAGCTGTAACGGTCGGTATCTGCAGCTTTGGCAAGCTGATAGCTCCCCCTGCTGCTATATGAGCACTATTGTAACTGTAGCACCACAGATTTTGGTCAAACCTATCACCACGTCATCAGTCGTTCAAGAGGTAACATCCAGCAAGACCCGAGAAGAATCCTAAAGAGACCACAGTGGAATGCACGTATTCTTCCTCACTACTGCTTTACTATTATTCAAACAAGTTCTTTTTCAACGAAAGATACCATTTAAGTCAGGGGAGAAAGAGATGCTAAGTTTGCACACAAGGAATGCAGCATTTCATTTCCATAGTACATCTATCTTAAAATTATTCAAATAATTTTACTATAGGTTCGAAACAGCTATAGTGCACTTGATATAAACTACTTTAGGTAATAAAAAAAGAAAGCAGAATATGAAGAATGGCTTGGAATATAAAGAGTCTCAACACAGTACACTTCAAATACACAAAATTCAGCTTACTTATACTTGCAGAAGGCAGACTACTTTTTGTTATATACACCACAGAGGCTGATTTTACACAAGAATGAAAGGATGGTTGTAGTAGAAATACAGTCATGGAAAAGAGTAAGTACAAATTTTTTGACGACTTGTGCTTTAAGTGATATTTGACAACGAGATATATCTCCATTTTTTACTTTTTCATATTAATTTAGTCTATTTTTGCAAGACCTGATATAGGAGAGAGAATTACAATCCACAAGAATGACTCTAGAAGTTCCTGAAGTATCTTATTTTCAAGTGGAAAGAAAAAAAAAAAACAGGGATCCTTCCCTAAAAAACCAGAACACTCCACAGTGGTGATGGAATTGATAATGAATTCTATTCTGGATAAAGCAGTAGAACCTACTTCCTGATCAGCAGAGAAACGTCTAAGCAAATAATCAAAACCACACAAAGCTCTCTTACTTGAAGCATCCAAAACCTATAAAACCCCAATGAAAAGAAGCAAAGTTTTACTGTTAAAAAGATGCAGCTTGACTTTCAATTTGGGAACCACAGGACATTAAAATATATATATATATATACACACACATACTATATATTATATTACACACACATATAAAAATAGATATATACTTAGCAAATTCTGTTGAGAAAGTGTATTTGAAGTGACGGAGAGCAAGTGTTCCTGGTTAAATAACTTCTCAGTAAGGAATAAGTACACATTTCATTCATATTTTAATATTTTATTACATGTCTGCAAACAATATCTGCTTACTGTTATGAAACACTGGAGGAAAAAAGATAGGTCACATCTAAATTGTAAGTACCACTTTTTCAAAAAGTTCAAACTACAAAACATATTCAAAAAGCTTCAATGCCCCAAAACACAATCATTATAGTATGTTAACCAAACAATGCAAATGCCTATATATGCAACCTGAGCCCGCTTGGACTGTAATGCGCTTCAATTGCACATAAGCCTACTTCATTGAGCCATAAATCAAGTCACATTACCTCACAACTAAGGATGACTAAAGGTGTAACTGTTACAGACAGTTACTGTTGGTTAAAAGAGGTGACACACAGTAACCTGTTCAGCCATGGTAATTCAGCCTCCTCCCTGCTCTTTAAGCCTCCAGATTGATCTATTAAAGTTTGAGAAACTAAAAGATTTCTATTGAGTTGATGTTTTAGATACATGAAGTGGATAGGTTTTTCAGCCAAAAATCACCTTCTAGTGTGGACAATGACTAAGTGTTTACAGTCTTACAGTGAAACTCGTTAACAGGTGACCAACCTCCATTGATTTCACCACCACTCAGTCCATGCCTCAGTGGTTTAAGAGCTTAAATCTCACATTCAAAAATGGCTTAAGAATGAGACTGCCTACGAAACACCAGCCTCCTTATGGGTCAGGGTTTAAAAGATGCCATAGTATGATGCAATCCCTTGATTAAAGGCAAATCTGCCCTGACTTAAAGAAATATTAGAACAATTACAATGCAAAACCATTTTATTCCAAGTGCAGAGTATTTGATTTTCTTGGCAGCTATAAGTTTCTGAATAGTTCCCTAAGGCAGAGGCAGTCATCACCAGACTTTGGCTCCGAGGTTCCCTGTCTCCAGAGAACCCTATAGAAAACGCCCGGCATCAAAAAGCATGTCTTCTTGAAAACCAATATGAATAAACTTCAAAGTCTCTTACAAACTTTTGAAAATATTCTTCAGATTTTATTCTTTCTTGAAATAATTTTCTTGTCCCAGTGAAGCCAGCAAGTAAAAGAAAAGTTAAAAGCAGAAGTAACAATTGTGTAGAATTCAGTTCTCGAGCAGAAGGGTTTCTGAACAGGTTAGTAAAGAATTCTTAGTCAGAAAAAAAACCAACATCCCAGTCCAACTCTCAGTTCTTTACAAGACAAAGCAATGCTTAAGTTCAAAATGGTCTGGACG